CCCCAAAACCCCAAAACCCCAAAACCCCAAAACCCCAAAACCCCAAAACCCCAAAACCCCTTCTGGTCATACAAAAACTGAAATATAATAATATTTATAAAACAACATGGCAAGGAAATATTTCACAACTATCACAGTTCTACTCTGATGATTGTTGCTATGGCAGTCTACTTTCTGTCAGGATGAAAGCACGGACGATACTCCTGAAGCATATGAAAATTGAGATTTGTTCCTTGAAAATGGGATCTGATTATACGATGGAGATACAGTACTAACTCCCCCACCAACAATTGATCACTTAATGCTATTTTTAACATTTGACCAGAGGCAGAATATTGACCAGTCTGGGAGGGGAAATCACGCTCGGGGACCTACAACCAGAGGGCCTGGCTATTTCCTCTCTCAAGGATACTCTGGACACTTCCAAGGAGAGCAAAATATAAATGTTCCTACAAGCTCAGATATAAACTCAGCTTTCGAGGGAGAGTACTCTATGTCTTTCTGGATTTTTATAAATTCTTTTGGTACTCTCACCACTGAGCAATGTAACATAATTGAGAAGGGAAATCAGCATACTTCTGACTTCTCATTCACAATTGAAATGTCCAGCAGAGAGATTCTCATTACTGTTGTGACTTCAGCAGGAGAGCAAACTCTGACCTCGAATGCAAGGCTTTTGTCTCACAGATGGACACATATCTCATTCTTTAAGACAAGAAGGCTGCTTGTTCTGTATGTCAATGGAAATCTAGACGCTGTCCTTCAAATCCAAGCTGGAGCAGAGATCTCAGATGGTGATCTCTATTTGGGAAGAATGCCATGGCAAGATTATATCGGCAGTGGATGCACCCTAAACTTTTACCTTGACGAGTTTAAATTTTGGGATACTGTGATAGAAGAATCTTATATTGAAGCTGAATCTGGGCTTGCTGTTGGAGCAGGAATTGACCCCCACTCCATCCAGTTAGGATGAGTAAACTGAGGTATTAACAGAGCTTCACAATCATGCACCGATGAATATCACCTTTGAACAACAATCGAGTTATACAGTTTTGCTTTCTCAGCAGCTAAAAGCATGGGCTGGGCAAGATCTGGTCAAAGAATATGGAGTGATAGAGCTGAAGAAGAAGACAGTAGTGACCTTGGACTTGCACTCTGCTGTAGAAATTATTAATTCTCAAAATTTTCAATTAAGCCTTTCCAAAAAGGGGTTTTGGGGTTTTGGGGTTTTGGGGTTTTGGGG